GAAGGCTGGCATGCCACTTGTACCACTAGTATAATCTCTTTGACTGACGTCCCAATATAACTCTACGTCTGATTCCTTTACCAGAAAGCTAGTATGACTTATATTCCTTTATCGCGTTTTGAAATTGAACAAACCGCGTTTGATTAACATGCGTGTCTATTATCCTTGATGTGTGTTACCATTTTCGCTAAATATGCCTTAACCATCAGTATATCTACCAGCAAATTATAATGTTTGTTGCTAAGTATTATGTAGCATCAGACATTAACTGAACAATATGAAATGCACTGCACATCATACATAAAGCATGATTTGCACTGGGCTTCGATATCAAATTCATTTTTATCTAATCGAGGAAATGCAAGATGAAAATGAAATATCCATATTAATTGCACTTCATCACTACAAATGTAGAATTCTCCTTATAGGATTTCTTTTCTCATTTGTTGTTAAATTGGACGAAAAGAATATGTCAACATGGAAATGTTCATGGTTTGAACCGTTTGGTTTCTATGCAGAGCAGTTAATCTGATGTGCAGTACCAGACAGGTCTAACATTTTCCTTTATGAATTATTGATATCGTCAGTGTGGAAGCAAAGAACAGGGGAAATTAAGAACCAACTCGCCTGAATAACATTTACTGATAGCAATAATCTGCATCTGAATTATTACCGTGTATTATAATAATAATATGATGGATAATAAAAATGATAACAATAATAGCAATGATAATAATGATAGCAATAACAATCATAATGATAATAACAATAAGGACGATAAAGATAATGGTGATAATGATATCAATGATGATAATGATATTAATGATGATAATGACAACAATAAAAATAATATTATTATGATAATAATTGTAATGATTATATTGATATAATAATTATTGTTATTGATAATATCGATAATCATAATGATGATAATAATAATATTGATCATGATAATGATAATAATGATAACTATGGCAATAACAAGAATAACTAATGAAAAGTAATAGTGTTACTGTAAAGTTACAACTGCTAATGGCAATGGTTGAAATAATAGTTTTTTTTCTTTAAATTGCAAGACCTCAAACGTTTCCACATGAAAAATGAATTTGCTGTGTGTGTGTGTGTTTGTGTGTGTGTGTGAACAGAAAGATAGACTAGCACACGCACACACACATCCAGTAATCATGAGTCCCATAATACAGAAATAAGGAGAATCGGAAAAGCCAAGCACGATATATATGGACAAAAAGTATCAAGAGCCAGTCGGGCGGAGCGAGCGCTCGAAAAGCTCTTAGAAACCGTTAGAATATTCCATTAAGTCTGCCAAGCCTGTGGGTGACAGTCTTGCGACCATTATGTTAATGCGGCGGTGCAAGTTAATCATGCAGATAAGTTATTAGCATGTTGATTTGTAATTTCATGTTCATGAATTTCTCGCATATTTACCCTACGCTAAATATGCATAGCTGATGGATTTGGGAAAGTGAGAGAGAGGAGAGGAGGGAGGGAGTTGGAGAGATAGAGAGAGAGGGAGAGAGAAGAGAGAGATGAGAGAGAGAAGAGAGAGACGAGAGAGAGAGAGGAGAGAGAGAGAGACCATTCGAGTAATATTATTATGTTTGTACGTATGTATATGTGTATACACCACACACACACACACACACCACACACACACACACACACACACACATGTATATATATATATCTATAGTATATATATATATATAGTATATATATTATATATGATATATATATATACTATATATAGTAATATATACATATATATATAATATATATATATATATATGTATTATATATACCCTATATACCATATTACATTACATTATACAGTATAATATATGATATATATATTATATATATATATATATTATGATATATATATTATATCATATATATACTATTATATATATATATATATGCTACATATATATACTTATATATCAGTAACATACATGTATACACTATATTAAAATACTTATATATATATATTATATTATATAATATAGTATAGTATAATCATATAATACATATATATATATTATATTACAATATGTATAATGTATATATTATATATATATATATTATATATATTATATATATGTATGTACTTATATTATATAATATATATATTTTACATATATATTATATATTATGTTATACCATATATATATATAATATATATAATAATATATATATTATGTTATAACACTAAGGATATATTATACATACATATTATATAGATATATATATATATATGTTAATATAATGAGATATATATATATGGTATATATATATATTATACCTCTCCATATATGATAAATATATATATATTATAATATAGTTATAGATGTAATAGACTATATATATAATACATATATACCATAATATAAAGAGATATCAATATATACTTATATAGAGCAGAGAAGAAGAGAGAAGAAGATGAAAGAAGAAAGACGAGAGAGAAGTGAAGGAAGAGAGTCAGAAGGAAGAGCAGGAAGAAGAGGAGGAGATGACGAAGAGGAAAGAGAGAAAGAGAGAGGAGAGACGAGAAGGAAGAGGAGTGGGAGAGAGAGAGAGGAGAGGAGAGAAGAGAAAGAAGAGAGATAGATGAGTACATATATACTATATGAATATATATATACTATATATACTAATATATAGTATATTATACATATACATATATGTAGTATATAATAGAATATCTTAGATATATATTATATATATATAAGAGAGATGATAACTGATATATAATATAGGATGGATAGATACGTTAGGTAGAGATATGCATAGGAGATAGATAGCAGCATGAATAGATATATATAAGATATGAATATATATATACATGCGATACATACATATATATTAATATATATAGGTATATATTAGTAATATTTATATATATTATATATTATATAGAGTATTATTATATATAGTAATCATTACAGTATATATATTGATAGTATATATATAGTATTTGAATATATAGATAGATAATATAGTATATAGTAGATAATATACTATAATTTGTGATTATGAGAGGTAATATATATATTATGATAGTAAACTATAGATATATATATATATATATTATAATATAGGTATACTAGTGTTATATAATATAGTAGTATATATATATGTATTATTACATATGAATATATAGTAGTATGATATAGTACTATATTACTATATATATAATGTATGTAATATACTATACATACATACATATATATAGCATATACGGTGTCAACTATATACGATATATATACTATATTATAGATACTATATATACATATATATAGTAGTATATATATATATGTATGCGTAATAATATATATATATATTTTATGTAGGTATGTAGGTTAATAATATATGGATAGTATACATACATATATTACATATATATTATTTATATATATTAGTAGTATATAGGTAATATATTATATATATAGTGATATATAATTATACATACATATATATATATGATATGTATGTAATAGCTACTTATTATATATATATCATAGATATATTATATAAGTATATATATATATATGATGTATATATGAGTCTGTTGTTATAAATAGTAATATATATATATATAGATATATATATGTATATATATAGTAGTTTATATATATATATATATAACAGTATACTATACATACAGCTATATCATACTAGTAGTTATATATGTATATAGTAATATATAATCTAGACTTATATATAGTGATATATACTGTATATATTATATGTAATACATAACAGTATATATATTTTATATATATATAGATATATGTTAATATTATAGTACTTTATTATATATATATATAGATATATATGTGTGTGTGTGTTGTGTGGTGGTGTGTGTATGTGTGTGTGTGCTGAATATGTATGTGTGTTGTGTGTAGTGTGTGTGTGTGTGTGTGTTGTATTGTTGTGTTGTGTGTGCGCGCTGATGTGTGTGTGATATGTGTGTGGATGTATATATATATACCACACACACACAAGAAAAAAAACACACACACACAACTAGAGACGAGAGAGAGGAGAGAGAGAGAGAGAGAGACAGGAGGGAGATGAGAGACGAGCGAGAGAGCGGGTAGAGAGAGAGAGAGAGAGGAGAAGACGATATGCAGAGAAGAGAGAGAGCAGAACAGAGGATTGAGAGAGAGAGAGACGAAGAGCACGAGAGAGAGAAGAGAGAGAGAGAGAGAGAGAGAGAGAGAGGATGAGAGAGAGAGTAAAGGAAGAGAGAGAGCGACGGAGGAGAGAGGGGGAGAGAGAGGATAGGGAGATGAGAGCAGTAAAGAGAGAGATTGACGGAGAGGACAGAGATGAAGATGAGACGGATAGCAGAAGATGAGATGAGAGGAGACGAGAGAGAGAATGGAGAGAGGAGGAGAAAGAAGAAAAGAGGGAGAGAAGAAGAGAGGAAGCGAAGAAGGGATGAGAGATTGGGAGGGAAGAGCAGGAGAGGAGATGGGAGAGAGAGAGAACGACGAGAGGAAAAGGAGAAAGACGAGGAAGGAAATGGATGAGAGATGAGAACGGAAAGGAGAGAGGGGAGAGGGGAGAGAGGGAGAGCAAGACAGAAAGAGAGAGAGAGAGACGAGAGAGAGAGGATAGACTAGATAGAATAGAGAGAGAGGAGATGAGAATGACGAGAGATGAGAACCTGAGAGAGGTAGAGAGAGAGACAGAGGAGAGCAGATCGAGGAGCAATGGTGAGAGAGGTGAGAGAGAGAAATAGAAGAGAGAGAGGGCAACTCAGAGGGGGGGGGGAGAGAGATAGATAGGGAGAGAGAGAGAGAAAGAGAGAGAGAGAGAGAGAGAGAGAGAGAGAGAGAGAGAGAGAGAGAGAGAGAGAGAGAGAGAGAGAGAGAGTGAGAGAGAGACCACTAGAATAATATATTATGTGTATGTAAGTATATGTATATCTATGTGTGTATGTGTGTATCTATAGATAGATAGATAGATAGATA